GAGGCTTACCCGCAGTGCAAAAAAATTTTTTAGAGTTCTGCCAAATTTTTTCATTGTAAGTACACCGTATTGAAGTAATTTTCCGTTGGGTATGACTTTTTATACGGACAGAGTCATCGTAGAGAATTAAATGCCGATAAAATGCAAAATCCCCATGTTATTTGTATGGAAAAAAAGAAGTGCTCGGTGGCACGGCTTAATTTTAATTTATCGGACTATATTGAGTTTCTACATTAATTTTTGGTGCCAAAGAAGAGATCTAGGGGGCGAACAAACTGATTTTTGAAATTTGGGAAATAACGGACACCCTAATGTATATACTTCTTATTAGGATGAAAGATAAGACACAAATAATTATGAATGTTCAAATTTAATGTATTGTTTCCACGATTTGCAACAATAGGAAGAATGTATAGGAAAAATGTTAATTTAATTTCAAATATAATATTTGTATCATTGAAAATGACCCGATCGGAGTAGAAACGTTTGTTTCTAACGTGTTTTGTTATATGAATTAAACAATTCGTTGATTTAATTTGGTTCTCTGTCCTATTTATATTTTTAAATAAAAATATTTTTAATTATTCTTATACAATAAAGATTTTTGCAACCACAGCCAACGTAAAAAAGTTTATTGTATTTGTAATTGACTTCATTAGAGCCTATTGATATTCTATTTGTTTGAAAACTTGCAAAATAAAAGTTATTTTAAATTATAAATTAAAAGTTGCAAAATAAATATTTTGTTTGTAACAGCCTAATTTTGTACTCGGACTAGCTCGTCGTTTATGCTGATTGTACAAAAAGGTTCGGCAGGAGGAGAGTTCGCTTCGGATCGGTATTTCGGTAGTAGCAACTAGAATAATGTACGCATAGGTGGAAAACAACGAATATATGATTTATTGCAAATAAAAGAAAAAGAATGAAATGATACAAAATAAAATGAGATGAGAATATGAATTATTATGATGCACGGAATAAAGATAAAATAACGGAAATGATATATACAAAGAAACGCAGAAAGGTATGTTAATATACCTATGACGTGGTCGCACGGAAACGCGCTTTACAGAAATATAAATATGTACAGGTATTTTTGCGACAAATAGAACCGGACGGACGCGGATCGGCGATACAAACACGAAGGCCTGATCTAGTGACGCGGAGTATTTACAATCGTGGGCGCGAGAGGTCCGCAGCTACCGGGACGTATCAATTTGGCGGTTCGTGCACCGAGCGAGGCGGTCCCGCTAACGTACACAGTTTTTTCACGTCTTCGCGGATTTGCGCTTGTAGCGGCACGAGCCGGGAAAGGCGGCGACCGGTGTTCGCGATGGACGCGGGTACACGCCAGCAATCAAATCGTTTCCCCTAATGTCGCGGCTTTCGCGTACCGTATTAATTCGGTCGTACCGAATGGAGGTCCGATAATCGGCGGTCGGGGCAGAGAGCGCCCTACCCCGTTTCGTAAGCCGACTATCGGTATCAAAGGGTAGCGGAGATGCAAGGAAAAAAGGGAAAGGAAAAGACGGGTGGATAGCGATGAATCGCGTGCCGGGGATCGCTACGGGCAACGTTGTCCGGCGGCCGGGAACGCCCGACGGAGGCAGGGTACACCCTACCGCGTGGTTCTTCGGGACCAACGTTGCTGTGAAGCCGGCGACGGAATCGGGTGCTATCGGTCAGACTGGAACGGTTTTCCGGCGGCCGGGAATGCCCGGCGGAGGCAGGGTACACCCTACCGCGTGTTTCGTCGGAAACGAAACGTTCGTGCCTGTTGATCGGATTCGGAGCAGCGGAGCGGAATCGAGGAGCTTGTGATCGGTTCGAGGTGCTGTCGGAATAAGCGTGCGAGCCGCCTTCGGAACGGTATCTTATACCTAAGCCGCCAGTCCCGCTCGCAAAGTTCCGGCCACTCTCGCCATTCTCCGTCGATCGGCTTCTCGCGGGAGAAGTTTTCCGATCGACGGTCCCCGATAGTGGCCGAAATCTCCCGACAAGACTGGCGGTTATAACGGCGGCTGCTGTACCTGCGAATTCCCGACATATAGGCCTATGTGATATGGCCATTGTCTAGTGACGATGTCATTTAGGGGGGCATCGTTACATGTTGAATGCGACCATTATTTTTACCAATGAATAATCATTAATTTTATTATTTTTCAATTACAGCAAGAAGTGAACCTGCCTGCGCTGGTTGTCCAACGTCCACGTCAAGACATACATTCATGGTATCCGCGTCAAGACATACATCAACGGCATCCGCGCCAGGACATACATCAAAGGCATCCGCGCCAAAGCATACATCTACTAAATCCGTGCCAGGACATATATCAACGGCATCCGCGTCAGGACATACATCAACGGCATCCGCGCCAAAGCATACATCTATGAAATCCGTGCCAGGACATACATCAACGCCATCCGCGTTAAGACATACATCAACGGTATCCGCGCCAGAGCATACATTTATGAAATCCGCGTCAGGACATACATCCACGGTATCCGCGCCAGAACATACATCAACGGCATCCGCGTCAGAACATACATCCACGCCAGGAAACACATTAATGGCATCCGCACCACAGCATACATCCACGCCAGGACACATTCATGGTATCCGCACCACAGCATACATCCACGGCATCCGCGCCGGGATATATAAACACGCCAGGACACACATTCATGGCATCCGTACAACAGCATACATCCATGGTATCCGCGCCAGAACATACATTCACGCCAGGACACACATTCATGGCATCAGCACAACAGCATACATCTATGGTATCCGTGCCAGAACATACATTCATACCGGGACACACATTAATGGCATCAGCACAACAGCATACATCCACGGCATCCGCGTCGGGACATACATCCATACCAGGTCACACATTCATAACATCCTCACCACAGCATACATCCACGCCAGGACACACATTCATGGCATCCGCGTCAGGACACACATTTATGGCATCCGCGCCAGAACATACATCCGTGGCATCCGCGCCAGGACACACATTCATAACATCCGCACCACAGCATACATCCACGCCAGGACACACATTCATGACATCCGCACCACAGCATACATCCACGGCATTCGCGCCAGGACACACATTGATGGCATCCGCGCCAGAACATACATCTATGGCATCCACGCCACAGCATACCATGTCGTCCACACTAGGATATACACCTAGGATGCCACAAAAATTCATTCCTGCACCAAGATATACGTCAGTACCATCAGCAGAATATATACGTGCGCCACAAAATTCGGTGCTAGTAACACATAAAGTAAGTAAAATAGAGTGTAATGGTGTATATGGTGTTACACTATAAAAAATCAAATGTTACAATTAACAAGGGGATCCTCAGGGGAGGTGTTTTTTTAAAAAAATTAATACTTTGCCAAAATGTTGTACATGGCACACCATTATGTGTGGCAAAGCAACACGATGCACTTTTCAAGCGTTTTTGAGAAAAAAGGGTTAGAAATTTTCCGTATAATGCACTCTCAATGGTAGCGCGCTAGGGTACAATTTCACTTTAAGAAAAAATAATATTTAATTTTGTAGAATACAAATATATTTTTTGACTTACAGAACAAGTTTGAACATTACATATTATACTTTTAAATAAACATTACAAGTTTGATGTACTAGGTTGGAGCTTAAAAATATATTTGTATTCTACAAAATTAAATATTATTTTTTCTTATTGTTAATTTCTATAAACTTTTACAAATTATTACACATTTTATATTTTTTCATTATTATATTATATTATATAAGTTGTTACAATAAATCGCTCTACTTATAATAAAAACCAATTAAATGTTATAAATATTTAATACGTGTAAAAAACGTTTTG